CAGCAGCTCACTCAAACCAGCAGATGTAATGTAACACACCACAGACAGAGACACTGTGTGTAAAATGTAAACCATTTAAATTATTTATCTTGTCATTTCATTTTAAAAATAAAAACAGACAAGAGTCTTGTGGGATGACTGTTTTTTTTACAAAGGGCTGAAACAGAGCAGCCCCCTCAATGTTCAGGTAATGAAAGGTCAGGTACAGTCAGCGCACAGTTTCTACTGATTCAACAGATATTCTAATTAAACCAAAGCAACAAAAAATGTTGCATTTTGTTCATATTTAAACACATTTTACATCTGAGGCTTCTGGTTTGTGCGTTTGCAGCGATGTGTCAGAGCTTGTTGAACAACTGCACTGTTTCCACTCACACGTGTTCAGCCAGGAGCTGACTGTGGCTCTGAGGAGGACTTCTCTACTTTGAACCCAGGGTGTAACTGTACTGTCATTACATACTGAGTACGTATATATTCCTCAGTGGCTTGTCTTTGCACCTTCCCAGCGTTGCAATGTTCCTTCCACTGAGCAATACATTACTTCTGTACCACAGGGACGGAGTAGGTGGGGGGGGGGGCTTGGTTATTAACATTTCCTTGAGCACCATATCTCAAATTTGTTCAGGCATTAAAGTTCCTCACTGTTTCCCACGGCAATGAAAGTAGCATTAGCTAACGTCATACTGCAACATTACCCGGCTATCATATTCCCATCTGAAAATGTAAAAACTATGACATTTAATTCATAGCAAATGGGCTGCCGCTCCAGTACAGTATATCACGCAGGCCATGACTGCCTATGTGTCTTACTCGTGTCAACACTGCCCACACCTTTCTAAAGAGCACCAGCTGCCTAATGCCTGCGCTGTGTCATAAGCAAGGTGAGTTATGATCACCGTGGTCTATGATGCACTGACTGAAAGAAACAATTCGTTTTTTTTTTTAAGAATACATGCCATGTTTGAATGCCAGCTCCAGCTTCTGCATCACTGCCCAAAAAAAATACCACAGATTCAAATGTTAGAGCTGCTTAATGGATCATGTCTGATGAATTGAAGGGTGGAACTTTGCGATTCAGGAAAGGTCACATGTCCCGTTTTAATGGGCTTGCGCCTCTGCTGCTAATAAAAGACACATTAAATTACCAGATATTTTAATGGGGTTTGGTGTGATATTCTTCCCAGACTGTACAAGACAGAGCGGCACTTATCCTGGCTTATCTCATGGATGACTGTTATGTGATATTGTTCAAAGGAGGTTACACAAGATGGTTACCATGGCATTTGCCCAGGCGTTTCTCCAGCTTTACTTTGCTCACAGATAATGGGTCAGGTCAAGCTATTCTCCTGCTTTTCTCCTCCTTGGTTGTGGCGTGACTAAGAGCTGGGTCGTTTTAACCTCCTTTTTCTCTGACTTGACATCTTCACACAGAAATTAAAATCTCCAAACCTCCATTTCAGCATACGGTAAATGTTTCATGTAAAGATGCAATAGCTTGGTGAGAAACCAGGCTGGTTGTACAGTGAGAGGATGTACGGACAGTTACAGCTACCATGCCTCCAATCTGCTCAAATATAAGGTAATACTTGGACAGAGTTTCATCCTGTTCTGGGCTGACGATAACACAACATGGTAGTGCTCAAAACTCTGAAGCCACAAGTGATGTCCTATGTTTTTGTGTCTGTTTTTAGGCCACTTCCCAGACAGTGGGAACAGGTGCCATGCAGCAGTGGCTCTACAGGTTACATCCAATCCTAATGTCCAACCTCTCTGCAGAAATCACAGATTTTGAAGGTTCTTGATCCATCTCTGAGGGTTCAGGGCAGTCTCAAGCTATGAAATTGGTAAGTGCATGAGGGCTCTTTTGTACTTTCTGTAAGTGCACAATCCTGCAGATTCTCCTTAAGGGACTGACTCACAATTCACAGTGTTGTGGCATAAAAATAACAGGAACATCAGGAGAACCCCGGAGGCATCGAGAAAAACACCCAACGATGGTCATTTACTTCTGCTCCGAGTCACGTGATATCACAAAGCGCTAGTCCAGACTTTATATCCTATCCTGCAAAGATAATGTTTGGCAGAAGAGAAGATGTGTCCACCCTCGTCTGTGGGGCGCAGCCTGGATCTGCTCTTCTTACTTTAACTGCATCACATGAGAATATATAATTATATGAGAATATATATTATTCTTCAATGTTGCCTCTTGATGCAATGGCAGCATGATGACAGAGTTCAGCTTCAGGTGTATGAGGAGTCTGTAACATATACTTGGACATATCTTGTTTTAAAGCAGAAAACAAAATTCTCTGGTAACAGCATCATTTGTAATGACTCAGACGTCAGTATCTATACATTCAAAATGGAAAACAGTGACCAAACCACAGAATAAATGTGCAGGTAGAGGTAAACAAGCTGAAGTAAAACGTGTAGGCACAACAGGGGGAAATAAAATGAAATTGCAGCTGGCTTTGATAAATCACTACATATTTACTGTTCTTAATGCATCTTCTCCGTGCAAATGATATTACTTAAACCCAGTAGAGACACATTAATCCTATCATAACCCAAACAGGAGAAGAACAACTTTGTGCTCCTGTTGTTGTTTCTACTCTGATGGCCACAGTTAAATGAAGAAACAAAAGACACCTCTGTTTACCATAATTTACCACCTTGATTTCATAAAGCGCATCCTGTGGCTGTAGCAAGCAGCCTATGGCCATACAACACACAGTGACCTGCAGGTCAGGCAGCTAACACACAGTTTGTCTTCATATCAGCTCAGTCTGCTCGTTGACTCTGCGCAACAGCAACTTCTGTTTTTAAAATGGAAAAATGTAATTCATCTACACACCAGTGCAGCATCAGAGAGCAGAGTAAAGGGCCGATTCAAACTCACGTGCTTCATGTCACCTGTTGATTTAAAATACACCGTCTACACCTCCATCACACACGCTGCGGCCTGCTCGCATCTGTCACATCACATATCAGTCTTAATGTGGATTTCAAGTGTTTCATTTGTTTTACTTGCTTAGACACATAATGAAACAATCAATTCAACATTATGCTTTAACACAAAATTTAACCAAGCAAAAGCCATAATTAGTGAAGGCTGTTGAAGCACAATACCAAAGAAAAATGATTGACTATCCCTTTTTAAATGCTGGGCCTTGGTGATGGAAATAAGCATTGATATGTGACAAGGTTGTTCTCTCTCAAAAGCAGCTAAACAACACAACAGCTGGACAGCGACCCTGTTTACTGTGTGTGACAGAGAATATCACGCTGAACTCTTCTGGACACTTCACCTTCCTCCCCCACACATCACCCAAACATACTTCATTAAACATTAAGACTGAACACGTTTTGTTCTGGATTGTAAGTCCACACTTCGCGTTGTCATCCAATCCATTAAGCAGCTGTTCTCTGTTTTTTACTACATTTATCTTTTCTATTTTCTGTCTGGACCAAACGACACTGTGGTCGCCACATTATTAGCTTCATCGGGCCTTTCCTGGCGTTTCTCTGGACGGCTGGAAAACCAGTTTTATCAGTTAAAATTCATGTGTTAACTGCAGTTTGGTTGGTTTTATTAGATGTTTTATGTCCCTGCATTACATCCATCGGTAAAACAAAGAATTGTCCTTAATTTAAATTTGCCACCAAATCCTCCGGGCCCACCTACTGAATACAAGAAATACAACAGAAACAAAAATGGAGCGGAGACAAACAAATTTCAGAAATAGCTGATTTAAAATGATTATCTTAGAGGGAATAAAGGTTTTTAATGTTTTAAATGCTCCCAAGAAACATTTAAATCTGGGTTTCTGGGTATATCTCTGAAATATTTTTGATATATGGTTGCCATTCTTTGCTCTATATACAATGTCTTTTCCGTTATATACAAATTATGACTAAAAAATGGCTTAAAAAATGCAAAAGCAGGGCACATCTGAAACCCATATATGTCCTCCATGTCTTCAGCCATGTTCTAAGTGTCCAAATGCCAGTAGCAGGGTTGACGTGATGCCAGCCTAAGAAAGCAATCAAAGCTATTTCAACCGAACATGAACAAGAGTAATAAGAAATTCTGCAAAAGTCTACAAAACCACATTATTGGTTTTCTGATGGATTTTAAATGTCACTCCTCTGTAGCTACAGGCGCCATATCTGTGGACAAAAACCCACATTTATTCCCTAAAAATGAAAATATACCATTTCTCATCCATGACCTGTCAGAACAGAGGTCCTGTTGTCTGCCATTAACTGAGCACTGCCCAACCACCACTGAATATTAATGGAGCCTTCCCTGGATCATCAGAGTGTGTGCATTTAATTCACAATCCTATCTGCATCTTCTAGGGCACAGGCTTTGTGTGTCTGCGTGTGTTTGTGCACACTGTGGTGTGTGTGTGTGTGTGTGTCTCAGAGCTGTTGTTGGTTTGTTCATGAGAGAGGACATCTTCTGAGTTCGAGCCCCGTCATACACTCTGGTTGAGATTAGTTATGTTGCAGCATAGCGGCATGTGTGTCTAATTAAGCGGCCGTTAATACGTGTAATAAAAGCATTACGTAAAATGAGCTATACCTCCACAAGCAGAGGAACGGAACACAACTGGAGCTCCGTGGAGAAGAGCCGCCGGTCTGACTGACTCCAATTAAATCAGATGAATATCATCTTGTCAGCAGCGTGGTTAAAATGACAGAATACTGATGCTGGATGCACAAAGTGGACCGATCGTGTTAAGATGTGACAGCTTATCAACAGGCAAGGCCAATGGAAGGCTCCCGCTGAAAGGAAGAAAATACGTGCTATAGCAACAAAGTGGTCTGAGAATTTACACTGAAATCTCATTCCCCAATTCTGACAGTGCGTCAAGATGGATAACGTGCGCAATGTGCGAAGTCACCAAAGCGTACAGATTGCGCACACATAAAACCCATGATGGACAGAAAATCTGTAGTCACGTTTGGTAGGTGGTGGAGAACATATGGCTTACCTAAAAGACTCGATGCCAGCACCGGAATTATGATGATGACGATGATGATGGCCCGTCCATCTGAACGCGATTCTTCTCGTCTCTCCTCTGTCGGTGTGTCGATGAGGTTTGAACTAGGCCATTTCTTCCCTCATCGCAATTATTTCTCAGGAGGGCAGCGCGTCGCAGGGTTTCGCATATCACTACACCTTCTCGGTGTCCGTCTTTCTCCGGCTTTTCCAAAAAAAGCACACCTCATAGTGCCCCCCTCCTCCTCTCATCCCTCTCTGACAACACCCTGCTCTGTTCCTTATCCACAGATATTTGACTTTTATAATGTTGAGATGCAGCAGCGAGTACAATTCAAACTGGAGGGGGGTGGAGGGGGGGAGAAAAAACACTCACAGTAAAATAAATGCGTAACGCTATAGCGTCAAGACTCTGCGCGTTGCTTCACAAGTCAACGCAGGGATCTGTCCTCTTTCCCCCGTTTGTCCATGCTGATAATAATCCACGGTATGAGCCCGCTGCACCGCGAGGGGCCTTCAGAGAGACACGGACTGTTCCACTTAAAATGTGAAATAGCGCTCTAAAGACACCCCACGAAATCAGGTGTCCAATCTCTTCTTTGCGCGCGTGCGTGGTGCTCTCTCTTGGTTTCACTTGGTATCTGATGCTGTGAACATCAAACAGAGGCTCAGTCTGAGAGACAGCGCGGGATCTTCCGTTTAGCCTCCATGGTTTTAGAACAGAGTCATAACTGCTTTAAATGTTGGGATGCAGGGATATTACTTTGAAGCTCGATACATGCGCTGAAGAAGAGCCCACGGCTGGCGCTTCAGCAGCCTCTCTCTCTCTCTCTCTCTCTCTCTCAGTGCGGTCTCATCGACTCTCTCTCTCTCTCTTTCGCTTGCTCTCCCCCTCTCTCTCTCTCTCTCTCTCTTACAGGACTCCACTTGCAATATTTCTATCACAGTTGTCATGACGAGGAGGCGCGACGCATGATTCAGTGAACATGCGCCGGTTCTGCTGAAACCGTCATGTGGAAAAAAAAAAAGCATTTGAAACACAGCGTTAGGATTTTAGCTTTGATTGGTTTAAAATGAATCTGCACAAGGCTGACGTCAGACTTTTAGGCTTTTTTTTTTATTTTTTTTTAAGTTTTTGGCGCCAAGACCCAATGCATTTCAAAGCGTTAGAATATAATTCTAGCTGTGGCAGGCTAATGTTAAAGGGCAAAGCTAATGATAATGTTAAGAATTACAAAATGATTATTGATAAAATGCTTCCCTTCAACTTCCTACTCAGTGTGTGAATTTACAGGAAGGTTCCTGGAAAGAGCTTTGAAACGTGGTTATAATTTTAAGAACGAACACCTTCACTTAAAGCTGCATTCACTGGTTTGGCCACTTGCAGGTTGCTAACAAGACCTGTAAACCCTTCCCTGACATGAGGCTCCATGTTGTTAATGTGAACTTGTTAGCAAACAGTTATCATTTACACATCCAGCCCACACAGAGCAGCACCATCAGTCTGTTTTAAAGTCGTGTTTGTGTCCTCTTGATGGATGTAACTCCAATAATTACTCTCTGTTTAGCTCCGGTTTCTTCTCCACCGACTCCTGAGGGAAATATCTGGCTCTTTAGCTGCTAAATGCTCCACTATGTTCAAACTTTGTTTGCCATTTATTGCTGAGCAGGTAGCATGTCGTGGGGATTAGAGCTGTTTCTGCAGAAAACAGCCGCCTGATGTGTCTGGAAACAATGCTGATGAGGGCAAGCCATAAAATCAAAACATTGAGCTGAAAGATGCTGTAGAGCCAGCAGGAACTGCAGAGTCAGCTGATCTTTATCTGTGGGTACATCACTATCAGCGAGCCAGGGAACATTTTGCATTGGGTCATATGATCCATTGTTAATATAAAATATTGATTAAAGCAGCTTTGATAAATTACAACTTACAACTAGTGTAACCTCGACTTCATTCCCCTCCTGTCTGCCCCTTTGTGGTGCCTCTCCAAGTGACCACCTTTTCACTCTTTTCTGAGTGGCCATGGGAGTCTTCATGTGCTTGGTAAACTCTGAGAAGTCATATGATTGACTCGTAGGAGTGTACCAGCAGCAGCAGCAGGCGTCTTGGACCTCCATCCTCATGGTAATTATAATACGAGCAAACCAGACCTTCGTTGTCATGGTAACTATAATAAACACACGGTTAAGATTTTGTATGGTCAGATTGAGGAACAAAACCTCATCGGTTTGGTTTAGTAAAATATTATGGTTTGGGTTAAAATAAGTTATTTCTTAAGGTTAGAGACCCTTTGTCGTCATGGTTACAATAACAAACATGCAGTTATGGGTTGTCAGCAGGAGTCCAGTAAGGAGTGGAGCGTATTCCCAGTGGGAGTTGGTCTTTCCTCAGCTGTACTTTGTCACCAGTTCTTTTGAATGTGTAATTTTCCATTTGATTTTTATGGACTAACTGTCAAGGTGCAGCTGGTTTGGCGACCTCAGGATTGTACCTCTGCTCTTTTGTTGATGATGTCGTTCTGTTTCCTTGGTACTGCAAAATGGTGGATTGTCGTCTTTGGGTTGAGAATCCCAAATGAAGAAAATCAAATATCTTAGGGTCTTGTCCAGGGAAGGTAAAATTTGTGTATGAGCTCCACAGGCGGATTGATGTGATGCAGGTGTTTGTGGTGGTGAAGAGGATGCTGAAACTGAGGACGACTCAGTCACTGATCTACGTTTCAAAATTGCAGCTCTCACCGATGGTTGTGAGCTCTTTGTAGTAACTGGAAAAAAAAAATTAAATGGAGGATACAAGTGGCAAAACAAGCTCCTTTCACAGAGCCAGTGACTCACAGGAGCAAAGTTAAGAGCTGAGACATACAGAAAAAGCTCAGAGCCTCGACACTAGAGGGATGAAAAATCCCATTTGGCCTGCAAACTCTACAGGACGCCCCAGGAAGTGGAGGATGTGGCTGAGGAGAAGGAAGTCTGAGCTACTTAGTCTGCTGCCCACACAACCCAAACCCACGATATGCAGCAGGAAATGGACGGATGGATGGATGCATAAATAAATGCGTACCAGTCTACTTGTATCATTATAGCCATTAGTTTTGATGGATCTACACAGCCTCCATGTGTCTGCAGTGTTAACCTATAATCCATTGCCGAATTTCACAATGAATCTTATACATTTTAAGGTTCTTTGAAAAAAAACGCTCAAATAAATCATATTACAATGTTTTAAATTACATAAGTAATAGCTAATATAAGCAGACCTTATTATCATTCCTTTTCTATGCTCAGAGAGGATACTACAACAAAACTATTTAACTGTGAAAAGAAACTCAAGAACTAATTTTTGTGTAAAACAAAATGAGCATTATTCTCACCTGATTTAGCTGCAGACACATTAAATTATGTATCTGAGTATTCATTTGCACTGTGTCTCACTCCTGGAATTACCATCATAAGTATAATTGTTTACTGTAGAAATTTAAGCTGCTCCTTCTGATAGACTGAATGATTCATCAGTTTTTTAAAAATATACCTTTAATTTGATTGTCTGCATTAGTTTTAAGGTTATGTTCAAGAACACTTATTATTTTACCCCGTAAACTTCGTACATGGGTCAGTGCGGAGGGAAACCGTTTCTCAGTAGTCCTTGTGCAGAGGGTAAATCTCAGGTGTCATGTTAAAATGAGAGGGGATATACTGTAGGTGCTACAGTCCCTGAGGCTCTGACCAATTACCATAGGTCAAAGAGGAGATTAAAGAGCCAACAGCTGCAGGAGTATCATCTGCTTACTGAATATTATAACTACAACAAAGCAGAATCTGACCGGACCAGCCCTGGAGTTTATCTGTCAGAAACTGTGAGTGGGAGTGAGTGGGATTTATTTCTTGGATTGCATCACAAGCTTTTCAAAATCACCTGACTCGATGGAAGAGTAGTCAAAGTTTGCACTATTGAATTAAATTGTAGCCTGTAGATTGGCTTGCATTCAGTGGGAAGATATAAGCTCATTGTTTCCTAAATCAAGCTGCTGCATGCTGCTCCTGTGCCCTTGGGTCATAAGGGTTGAAATGCAGTGGGAGGTGGTACATGATTAGAAGAATGGATGAGACAGATGGATTGGATGAACTCCTTCGATGTGTATTCAATCAAGCGTGGTGGGCGTAGGGTTGCAATGTGTTTACCTTGATGTGGTTCTGAAACTCATACAACATAAAAAAATGATAATAAGTATCTATCTATCTATCTATCTATTGATATAACTATCTATCGATATATCTGTCTATTTATCTCAGTTACCAGTGAGTGACTGCAAGGAGGGAGAGTACGGCATTATGGGTTTAATATACACTAGTAATATGTTGGGGTTCATGCTAACAAATCTATTACTTTACATTATCTGGTATTTAAACCTCAAACCTCTTTGAACTTGAACTCCAATCATCCTATAAAAAATGACATCATACAAACCTCTGACATGGACACACAGAGCTGAAGGCTACTAAGACTGAGTGTTGACAAAATACATGTATTGTATACTTAAAAAATCTGCATAAATACAGATATTCACAGACAATCGGGAGACAAGGTTAGTGCTGTAACTGAGAGTAAAGAATGTGTGCATCAGGGCAACACAGCAGAGACTGAGCTGAGCCTCAGGATCCAGTTCACAGATGCATTCATGAGGAGATGACGCGTTTGAAACTGTTCAGTTGTTGGAGAACAGCTCACTCTGCTGGTTATAAGTTGATATTGCAGCTATGGACGTTCAAAGCAGCACTGGTGTTTCAGATTATTGTTTTTAATGTGCTTCGTATTTGTCTGAAGTCAAACATTACAGCTGTGTAACCGAAGTCCCTAAACTAACCTAATACTAAAAGTATAGATGATACAATTCAAGTCAGCATTCCCTGTTTTTTTCTTTTCTATTTTTTAAGTACTTAACCTTTAAAGGTCATCAGAGAGAAGTGAATACGTGATGTCACTGTAATGCGGCCCAAGGTTCAGACTGAGTCTGAGCACAACACAGAGGTATGTTGAGACGAATGAGAGTATAAAACTCACCACAAATCTACAAGCTTAAATCAGTTAACAGTTTTGGAAATAGATGGTTAAAATAGAAAATATAATGAGAAGCATAAATACACTGTGTTTACTCTTATTAACTTAACAGCTGTCCTGCCTGTGGAAAGACCCCGCGA